CCCCAAAACCCCAAAACCCCAAAACCCCATCAGACATTATATGTTGTATGGTTGTTGATTAGAATTAAAAAAAGCTTTGATTTGTTAAAATAGTATTTTAGCTTAAATAAAATATACAATGATTAATGGACAGTTATTACGATAGCAATAGTAGTTATATTAAAGTTCAAGAATTGAAAATGATCCTTAAAGATTGCTTAAAATTCAAAAGAAAAGGAAAATGCTGGCATTAAGGTCATAGCAAAGGAAATAAGACTTCCTGGAGTAAGCTGAATTTCAACAGAGCTAGAATTATCTTAGTGTAAAAAATCATAATAAGTCAATGAGTTCTTCAATTCCTTAAAGTGATGAGATGGTTTCTCTTATACTCTTTGGGTAATTACACAAAAACCAAGAATATGAAAGGAAGATCAAATCAAGATTAGAACCGTTCCGCCATGGCAAACCTAGTATCTAGGAAATTAATAGTTACTTCAATTAAAATCTCAATGAAAGTAGCAGGGACTTAGGCTCATTTGCCTCACAAAAATAAAGAAGCTCTTCCCCGAAAATTATAAATTAGCCCTACAGTGATGTAAAATATGAAGAAACTCTAAGACCGAGGGAAGTCATTAAAGAAATTGGAGTGGGTTAATTTAAAGTAGGTCAAATAAAAAGGAACTCTTTGGACTGCTCAATTAAACTCGATCATAACGACTCATCATATATTGATAAATCTACAATGAACGACTAAAATAATTCTAGTAAAGTAAACACTCACGGATTGAATGTAAATAGTAGTATGAATAGAAGTATTCATACCTCGCACAGTGGGTAAGGTAATGGCTCAGGTGGCCCAATATCATCATCCAACTATGAATTTAATACTAATTCATCTTACTTTTTGTGCGCCAGATCAAGTCCTTAATCGAGACATTAGTAAAAACTGATAAGAGATTAGGAAAGGCAAAGAGAAAAGGAGTACAAGACTAGCTTTAGAATAAGTTTGGGAGGTATAAGAGATAAATAAGGCTGGTCTGAAATCAAAGATGGAATCAATGTGGGAGATGTATATAATGAGGGCTTCTAAAGAAGTGGTTCCCTGACAAGATAGAGACGAAAAGAACTCGATGTTACTAATAAAGAATTCAAGCAAGTATTCTACCCTGAATAAATTAGAGAGCATAAGGCAAGATCTGTGAACAGATCAAATTATGTGAACGACACCCACAAAGCTTTGACTATCCTTAATGAATCAGTTAACCCTGAAATTTATAATAACTCGACTCGCTAGTCTTAGGCAAAAATTCTAGGCAAATACGATTCTAATTCAAGTATCTCTAAGATGCCTAAGCTCTATTTAAAGTCATTGGAATAATCAGAATTGCTTTAAAAGTTTCATTAAAACTTGTAAAAAGTCAAAAATTCGAAATAAAGGAACCCAATTGTGAGTATCTAATCTCCTAAGGAAACTACAATCAATTCTAACAACTGGAATAACCCTATACTTATTTCTAAGTAAAACATGATTTAAATTGATGAGCTAAATGACTATGCCTCACTTAACCAAGAAACTCCAAAGTACAACGACACAAAGGAGTCATTTCTTTCTAAAGGAATGGTTGAAAAGATGTCAGATCATCACTCAAATAATAATTAAAAGCCTGCTAGAAGAAATATTCTTATTTATAAGGATTATCTCAATGGTAGTAATAACAGGTAAACCCTTCCAGATCCAAAAACTAACATAGTCATCAACAAAATAGGGATTTTTGGGAATAGATAAAAGTCCATAGATTTAACAGCCACTGGATTAAAGAATATTGGAGTATCTTAAAATCTCAGCAATAGTCATAAAAAATAAGCCAGCCTATTCAAAAAGTGATATCGATTCTAATTACACTCAGAAAACAAAGATCAATGAATGAAGTGAAGTTTTAAATGAATTAAGTTTTATTGATTTAATTATAATAATTTTACCAAAATTTAAATATAAATCAACTATGCCTCCCAAGAAAGCTAAGAAAACCAAGAAGCAAATTGAAGAAGAAAAGAGTAAGCACTTGACTAAACCAATTCAAATTTGGCTTTAATACTTTTATGCTTTCTATTCAATCAAATTCTAATAATATTTGAATAGAGAAACTAGAAGAGGAAAAGAGAATCTAGGAAGAATTAGACCGTAAAAGAGCTGAGGAAGATGAGAAGAAGCGTTCCATTGAAGAGGAAAAGCGTAGAATCGAAGAGGAAAAAAGACGTCAAGAGGAGGAAAAGAGACTTGATGAGGAAAAGGTAGGTATATATAGATGTTGTTTATGTATTAATATACTGATATTAGGAATAATTCTACTAGAGAGATGGTATAATGATGGAGAATAGAGTAACTGCTCAGAAGGGAAAGAAAAAAGACCTAGATGTAAGCACATATTTTTATTTGAAATTCTTAACTTTTTTCTCAAATAGGAAAAATATCTATTATGTGATCCATTGCCTGACCCAGAAAATGAGAGAGACTTGACCACATTCATCACAATGTGGGCAGAGTAGAGAGATAAGACTATATCTGAATGCATTGAAAGATGTCAAATCTCTGAGGAAGTTATCAGGACCATGCAAAATATCTATGGAAATGCTATGGCTAATTACAACTACAATAAGGTTGAATGGTGTCATACTTATATGAACGAAATGAGAAGAATGATTTTCCAAAAGTATGACTAAGTCAGCTCTCACATTCTCGATTATATTGAAGAGCACACTAGGTATACAAAGGAAGAACTTCTAGAGCAGCAATAGAAGAACACAAACAATACCAATAAAAGAGGTGACTAGGGCTAAAAATCAGAGTTTTTGCTCAAGGCTTAAACTAAAGACATTAAGTTCGGTATCTATGGCAGTGTCTCAGGCAAGAACCAGACTCATAAGTATACTGACATAGGTACACTACAACTAAAGGTTCCAAGATAGCACGCCAATTAGCAAATAATTATCAGAGCTGTCTGGACTAGCTTTGACTACGTGACTGGAAGAAACTATTATCCAGACATCGTTGTTGTAAGTATAGTATTTTTTTGATTAATACCATTAGGGTGGAGTTGCTGACTTTAGATTGTTCTAGTATCCAGAAGGCCCAAGACAAGCAATGAGTAAGATATAAAAATAATTGACTTAACTGTAGAATGGACAATGAGAAATGTGTTTTCAGTAAATGACAGACTTAGGAATATCCCATATCCAGACCCAACAACTCAAATCCAATCAGATCCAATTGCTATTACATACAACTTACCAGATTATGTATTCACTACAGAAAACGACGACGTGAAAGTGGGAGTCTGGGATGAGAAGGAGGAGACATGGCAAACTGAGCTAATTGATGATCTTCAATACGATAGAACTGCTAGAAAACTAGAGTTTACTACTAGAAAACTAGCTTAGATGGCTTATCTTTAATCTAGATGCACTGACTACCCATATAAAAAGTGGAAACTAAGATGCATTGAAAACCAGAAAGCAATTCTAGATATTGAAACAAAGAGATTAACATTAACCTTTGAGATCGGTCCAGAATACTTAATGTTGATTGAGAAAACAGACCCAGAGTTCAGAGAACTTGTTGATAGGAAATTTGAACCTGGCTACCTTTTGATGGAGCTTTCTAAGTGTGGAGTGCACTTGATGCCAGTAGACGATGATGCAAAATTGGGAGGAATTCATTTGAAGGACAGGCAAGCTGAAGAGAGAGCTATTCTTGATGTAGCCACTTCTATAAGAGCCTTGGCGATTAGATCATCAAAGTGGAACAAATCCCTTGATCCAGAAAACATTGTGCTTAAAATTAGAGACAATCTTGAGTTTGATAGAGAGTTCTATGAGGATCACGAGCCAGACTGGAAGTACTGCATGTGGTGGCCAAACAAATGCGCCTTCGTCAATGTCTCTGATGCACAAGACCATTGCGATGCCTCTCTAAAAGCTGGACACGAAACTCACGGTATTCTAAATATTGTCATTCATGGTCATTTCCATGAAGAGGTGCTGGAGAGATCTCATTAGTATGGATATATCGATTTCATAGACACTGTCAGAAAGACTCTCAGACTAACCCGTATAATTGCATTCACATGAAATTAAATCAGTGCTTTCTCTTAATGTTAAGATTTAATTTTTAAAAAAAATCTATTTATATTTAGATTGCATATTATTTTCAAATATGATGTAATTCTTACATTATGGGGTTTTGGGGTTTTGGGGTTTTGGGGTTTTGGGG